CAAACATGACCTGATTCTAGAAAGTTGGCAGCTGAGTTCCTAATCTTAGGATTTCTACCTTTGAAGAAGTGTTTTCCAGGTTTTAACACCTGTTCCTCCCATACTCTTCAGCCTTGCCTTCTGTCCTTATAGTCACTTTTTGGAGGTCAAGCCAATACCTTTAAGCCTTTAGTTTGGTTCCAATGTATGGTGTTTACTTTATCTTTGGAATGAAAATAAACTGGACTTTCTCAAAGATATTTTTATTTCTTAAATTGTCTTTGTACTAACACCAACATAAATTAAAATAAAAGAGTTGAAAATAAATCCTAATGTTTTTTCTTTTGTTCATTTTTGATAACCTGTTCCTGAATAACATAAAAAGCTTAGGAATAGAGTCTAATATATTTTGATATATTATGGAGGCAGTTTCCAACTTTGGAAATAACCTTAATGCATTTCAGTCTTGCCACATAGACTCTACAAAACTTCTGTGTGCTGGGGAGGGATGGCAGCAGTTTCTTGTGGTTATGATACATTTGCATAAACATGCAGCTACCATTACCTATTTAATGATTTGTTCAACCCTGGACTTTAAATAATAAATGGCTGTGGGTGATAAAGGACAATTTTAATGGGACTAAGTCTCCTGTTTGGGACAGTGGGTTTTAACCTGTTTTAGATACTGGAATTATTTTGTAAATCTGAAAAGGCATTGGTCCTGTCTGCAAATAGGATGCACATACAAGCTGTTGTAGATGCAGGAGGGGATTTAGAGACAATTCCACATACCTCCCACACCAGCTGCCTGTTCATCTATGGATGACTTGGTTTTAAGTTTGTGATTTTGGAGCTCAACTATACAGTGTCCATACTTTCAGTCCTTAAGCCATTCATTCATGAGCTTTTAAGTTCTAAGGCATAGTAGAATCTGGTTTTTAGCTCTTTATGGATGATAGTCTTGTATAACAAATTTAAGAGTCTGTTTTCATCATGAAATGAGAAGTGTGATTCATGTGTTAAGTTTCTAGCTTACACTTTTTTTTAAAATACATTTTTTAGTTGTACATAGACACAGTACCTTCATTTATTTTTATGTGGTGCTCAGGATTGAACTCAGTGCTTCACACCTGGGGGCAAGTGCTCTACCACTAAGCCATAACCCCAGCCCTCTAACTTACACTTTTTAAAAATTTTGGTGGTGCTGGGAATTGAACCCAGGGCCTCATGCTGCTCGGCAAGCACTGTACCACTGAACTACATCCCCAACCCTAACTTACACTGTTTAAAGATTTAGAATTTATTTGGTGTGTCCCAAGAGGAAATACAGCAACTATCTAGTTTATCATCCAAATTTCTTTTACTTCAATACAACTTTTAATTTACCTTTACATTTTTTATAGTCACACAGCTTTCAGTTGTCTTTCCACCTAAATCTTTTTATTATAAACTTTTTTTGTGCTTCCATATTGCTATAATATTTAATGCTGCACCATAATTCACTGAGTTGATGTATGTGTGTGATGCAGGATTAAAAGGTTATTCCAATTTTATGTTTTATGTTGTAATTTTATGTTGCAAATGACAACTTTAAGTAGCCTTTTCAGTCTTGTTTTAGATTAGTTTCTTAGGGTGGATTCTCAAGGATGGAAGTAATGACTCATTTATTTCATGGCATTTTCTGAAGCACCTACCATGATGTCCCAGGCTGGACCAAAGGTTTGGCCATTTACTTGATACTTGATATGCTTTGTTATTCTTTCCCATTGGTAAAGAGGTCTTCTTCACCAGTGTAGTCAGCTCCGAATTGTCTCACCTGGTGAATGTTTACAAATAGATATAGTAAAGCATGGCAGGGAAGTTCCAGCTAAAGAAATAGCTGTGTGTCTCTATACCTACTGTTAAAATTATTTACACAACCTGGTCTCCTTTTGATGTGGTAGCTGAGAGATGAAACTTTGATCAAATCAGACTGTACAGACTTAACATACCCTTATAATTAACCTAGATTTATTAAAATCATCTAGAAAACTTTAAGTTGAAATTTAAAGTTTAAAGCAAAATCACAATACATAATTTGATTAATATATATGAAATTTTATTTTATGAATATTTGTTGAATGCCAAGTATAAGGTAAAAAAAATGTGTTGCATATTCTTGGTCAGTTCTTCATGAGTAAGAAGAGATGGATAAGTAAACAAGTAGTTGCTGCCACCCATGCTGAGCACTGTCACTGTGTTTGTATGTCCAAGGGTACTTTCTTGGTCTTTTACCCAGATTTTTCACTACAGAAAAGTTTCCCCCCCCTTCCATGGTTTACTATCATGCATTGGAAAAAGAAAATTAAAAAAAAAATTGTTAAAGAGTACAGTACATCTAAGTTACTTGGGATGAAAACTCAGTTTTTGAAATACATGTATAGTTTAATGAGGATTCAAAATTGACTGGTTGAAGGAAGTTGTAGGTGGATAGTTATGTGCTATGTCACTGGTTTCTTCACAAACGTAATTTCTAATAATTATTAGAAGGGGCAAAAATAATACAACTGAGCATACTTGCTTCATTAGCCATAGCAAGAACGTAATTTAAGATGATCCCCTTTTTTTTCTGTCTTTCAAACTAAAGAGCAAAAACATGTGTCTCCTTATTCACTCTGGGAATCCTGAAAATCTAGGTCCCCAAGTAATTCTGCAGGTTGTTGATTGTAACCTGGGAGCTTAACAGGGGTGCATTGTTTTCTTGGTGTTGAATTGGGGATGCTGGTAGTACATATTTTACAGGGCTATCAAATCCAGTAGCTACTGCTCTGTGTTCACCTTAGCCTCAGAAGCACTGGTTGCTGTTTTCTTCTTCTTAAAACATTTTCTCTCAGCTCTGGAGACCCCCAAACTCTGGTGCTTCTCCCCCTGCTCCTTTTCATTTGTTGTTCTTGGCTCTCCTTCTACCGCATTTCTAACTATAGGGTGCTTAAGGGCCCTTTCCTTTCTGTTCCTTTCTTTGTCTGTTCCCTGTGGCTTTAGATATTGTCTATATGCTGGTGAGTCTTTATGTGCCTCCATTCCTGACCTGTCTAGTTCAGAAGTCCAGATTCATATGTATGGCTGTCTACTCGATATTGCTGCTTTAATACATCCCTAGATGAAACCTCTGGATCTTTCCATCAAAACAAGCAAGCAAAGAAAGAAACCTTTTGCCTTTCCTAGTTCTCTCCACTTTGGGTAAATAGCCTTGAAACTGTGACTCATCCTTCATTCTTTTCTTTCCTTCACTTTATGCATCTAAGCCTGTAGCAGCTATTACCTCCAGAAATCTATATCATGTTTCCTCTGCTGCTGTCCTATTCTAAGCCAACATTATCTCTTGTCACAGCAACAGCCAGCTTGTCACCTTCTTGGTCATTCTATAAATAGCTACTGGAGTGATTTTTTTTTAAAGCAAAAATCAGATGATGTCATTTATCTATTTTAAGATCTCTACTATTTTCCCATAGCATGTAAAATACAGTCTCATTTTTGGAGCTTACACATCTGAGTTTAGTTTCCATAACTAGGAAATGGAGGCATTGTGACTTTAACTAGAATATAATTATCACAAGGGGCATGGATTTATTTATTTATTTTTAGTACCAGGGATTGAACCCAAGGACATTTAACCAGTAAGCCATAGCCCCAATCCCACTTAAAAAAAAAGAATTTTTTTTTTAAACTTTTTTTTGGTGGTGGTGGATGTACCAGGGATTGAACTCAGGGGCACTTGACCACTGAGCCACATCCCCAGCCCAATTTGGTATTTTATTTAAAAATAGAGTCTCACTGAATTGCTCAGCGCCTCGCTTTTGCTGAGGCTGGCCTTGAACTCATGATCCTCCTGTTTCAGCCTCCTGAGCAGCTGGGATTACAGATGTGGGCCATTACACCTGGACAGGCATGAATTTTTTTTGTCTGCTTCTTTCATGATCATTTTTCTTGTGCCGAGAACAGTGTGTACACATAATGGACACTTAATAAATGCTTATTGGGGTGAATAAATACATTCTACTTATATGGAGCCCCCAGAACTTTTCTTCTTTTCTCTTTCAAAGTATTGTATTATAGCTCAGCATATCTGCATAACTTAGAAAATCCATGGAAGACTTCCAGTGCAGTGTCTCTTTTTCTTTCACCTTCTATACATATTTCCCCTAACCCCATGGTTTATTTATCAGATCAGAAGATATTTGGGTCATTGGGAGAAGATAGGTTAGTACATAGGATACAAAATAACATGGAAATTAAATAAGCTTTTAACTTTAGAAATACAGTTGTAGTAGATATGATAAATTTTTACTCTTTATCACCCTGTTTCAACAGTCATCAATATACGGCTGTTCTTTGAACAACTAGCATTTAATTTGGACATTGCCTATGGCTAAAGACTGTCTAGTTTTATAGAAGTTTATAGCATAGATCTACTTTATCCTGGGCATCATTATTATTTTGGTAAACCAATCGAGGATAAATTAGGTATGATTTTAAGGATATTAGAAATGTCCTGAAATACCTTTTATGATTTGTGTGTCTGTGTGTGCACGTGTGTGTGCATGAGTGCATGCATGTGTATATGTGAATGCCTGAAATTTGATCATTAGCTCAACTATAAATTTGTAAATTGTGAATAAGGCAGAGAAGGAAAGTACTTGTAGCCTATCAACAGTTATTTATATCTTACTGTAATGATGTTAATTAGAAGCATGCTTGATTGCTAAGTAACCAGGAATAGGCTTTGATGGGAAGTCTAGAATCACAGGGACCTGGGATGGGGATTGCTAACTAAGGACAAGTAATATTGTTCAAGAGGGTAGGAAGGTGCTGTACTGAACTTTGCCTTTGAGGCATTTTTAGCTTCAAAACCTGTGGAACATAATCCCTACTCCAGTTTGGTGGTGCTCCCACACCTTGTCATCTGGGTTTCCTTTGGCTGGCCATGAGTAAATCTGCCCAGGAGGTGCTTCCAGCTAACTCTGATGCTTGTTTACTTTTAGGTATCTTGCAATATATTCAGAACTCTCCCTCCTAGTGACAGCAATGAATTTGATCCAGAAGAAGATGAACCTACCCTTGAGGCATCGTGGCCACATTTACAGGTACTTTGAATTATCCTGTGTTTCAAAGGAAAGATCCATTAACTCGTTCATTGATTCGCATGGAAATTCCTTGAAGGCCTTTGTTCACCAAGAAGTTAAATTAGAATATATTGATGAGAAAACTGAAGAATGCTTTTTGTTTCCCACTCTTCATAATTAGGATATAAACATAATAAAATAATTTTATTGCAGTGCTTTCGTGTGGGCTTCCCCACGTTTAGAGCTTATTTGTGATCCTACACACTGGAATTTTAAACATGAACAGAACTGTTTTTACATTAATAATAGTTGTATGTGATTAGTTCACAGAGTACATGTATCATTTTTAGCAGTTAATACCCTGGGGAGTTTGTATGTTTTGTCTTTGTGATAACCACAAGTGTGTTTCTTTAGTCCAGAAGGGCAAATCCCAACTGCAATCACTATTTCTTCCCCAGGTTGTAAGAAGGAGAAATAGCAAAGTGAAAACATGGCCTGTTTTGTTCTGGTGCACTGAGAAGGCCAAGTTGCCCAATCATAATCTTAGGCCAGGACGGGTTAGGGGTATCACTATACCTATTTTTCTAGCACCAGCCCCATCTGTATTGTATACCTGGTCATTTTCCAGCTTGTCCTTTCTCTGCTGCATTCTCTCAAGGCCATAATTTCTCAAGAGAATAGAATAAGGAGATTTGAATGTGTCAAGCCCCAAAGTCATGTTTCTGTCTATCAAAAAGTCTACAGTGGCTGGGGAGACAAATGGCCAGGAGGAACAATATGGAGAGAAGGAGTAGAACCCTGTACATCTCCACCCCTAGGCAGAATTCTCTGCTGCTTTGTAGAAGTGTGCTGATGGTTACTAGTTGACATTTTGGAGAGCTGAGGACTGTGCAGCAGAGAGATGAAGCTTAGATCTAGACATGCTTTGAATTTACATTTTTCCCCACTTGAGAATTTTTTACATAAATTTACAACTTGGGCCTGTCCTGCTTTGGCAGCTCCTGGTTGCTACAGGTACGTATGTATGCTCTTTCTCCTAATTACACAAGAGCTTTCTGAGCTGTTTTTTACTTAGGCATGTGATACGTATATGTTCCTATTACCAATGCCAAGATTGGTAGATAAATTAGTTAAGCCACTGTGGTCGTTCGATTAAAATTTTTTTAAAAAAATTATTTTATTTTATTTATTTGGCACTGAAGATTGAACCCAGGGATGCTTAACCACTGAGCTACAGCCCCAGCCCAAGTTTCTTAGGGCCTGGCTAAGTTGCTGAGGCTGCCTTTGAACCTTTGAACTTGTGATTCTTCTGCCTCATCCTCCTGAATTGCTGGAATTACAGGCATGTGCCACTGTGCCCGTCAATGTTTTATTTTTTTAAAAGATGCCAGACATACTATTTGTAGTCTAAGATATTTGTAAAATAATTTGTGCATTTCATAGGTATATCCCAGATTGTGACAAAACCCAAAACAAACTCTTTTGAATGGGTGGACTTCTTGTTCTGTTGTATTCTTACTGCTTGGCTCCAGTTCACTGAGTTGCAATTTAGTTTGAAAGTTTTAGGTTGGTTTTTTTTAAAGAAAATCTCCTTGAGGAAGGCCCACATCTTATGGTAGAAAATACACAGAGATCCTCAAAGCTTCAACTTACTGTTTTCTCTATATTCCAAAGAAGAGGTCACTCTTGCCATTTAGAAGAGCATTTTGAACACTTTAAATCGCCATCACATAGATATAAGTTTCTCCAAAAGTACAATAAAGTTGAATAACTCAGTATTTCAGATAATCCTTCCCTTAGTGAATGACTCTTATATAGGACCAAATTAATTTCTCAAGTTATTAAACTAAATTTGCCACCCAAAATTTTAGCCTACACTGTGGGAGTATTAATCATTAGTTCATCTGAAACCCTAAAACCAAAGCAACATTGAAAGATGGTGATAACAAACCATTTCAAATAGACTAGTTTCATTTGTTTTGACACCCTGTTCAAGCCTATAATCCATCAGGTCCCGTCTTTAGCTCAGGGGGAGGTATGACTGAGTAAGGCTGGATTAATTGAAGGAAATTTACTTTTAAAATTCACAAATTGTCCTTCATTCATAGTAAAGGTCAGGCCAGAAAGAACACTGTTACCTTCATTTATCTGTTGCTTTGTGGATATCTTTGTATAGGGTCTTGGCATGTCTCAAGAGGCTGGTGTTTCCTTTGTATAGTCTTCCTGCACCGATTAGTCCCGTTTCCAGTTTCATTGAGAGGTGGTTTTAACTGAGAGAGAGCACTCATTGAAAATTTCAGAAATCTTTTTTTCTATGCACTATAGGTCATTTGTGTCATAGTCGCCCATGACTAAATTTAATAGTTTACTTTTTAAAAAAATATCTATTTTCTAGTTACAGGTGGACATGATATCTTTATTTTTAATTTTTTTTTAAATGTGGTGCTGAGGATCAAACCCAGTGCCTCACACATGCCAGAAGAGCGCTCTACCTCTGAGCTACAACCCCAGCCCCAATAGTTTACTTTTTAATTGATCCAGTAGTCTCTTTTTTCTGACCAAAACATAGCATGATTTTAGATTTTTTTCACTTTTTCTTAACTTCATAATTAGTAATATGCTTCCTCTTCTGGACCATATTTTTAATAAGGAGGCACAGTAAAAATATCTAAGAATGGTAGTAGCTAACAACAAAATTACATTGAGATCTAATTATTGGGTGGTTGGCCAGGCTCATTGCCCAATGACTATTCCTGCATACCTCTTCTTTGTTTTAAATTTGTGGTCCATACAAAATTACTGATAATAAAAAAAAAATCATTGATCTTTGGAGATATTTTAAAATATACATAATATTAAATTCACAATTTTTTACTTCGTATATGTCAAGATGTTACTTGATCTCCTATCTGTATTGGTGTCTTTTAAACTCAGTTACCTTGGTTATTGTTTATGTGTTTTCTGAAATTAGGTCTGTTTTTCCAGCGGAGTACAATTTTGCAGGACTTCTGTTTGTAATTAAGAAATTGTAGTGCTTTATACTTGAGACTGAAAAACATGGATGCTGAATTCTTGTTGTTTGGATTGCTTGGAGATTCCTCTTATGTGACCTTGAAAAGTAATTTATTTCCCGTAGTCTTTCCCTTTAGAAACTCAAGGGAGGTTTTTTTTTTTTTTTTAATTTTTTTTAATTTTTTAGTTGTATATGGACACAATACATTTATTTTGTTTATTTAGTTTTATGTGGTGCTGGAGATCGAGCCCAGGGCTCTACCACTGAGCTACAACCCCAGCCCCTCAAGGGAGATTTCTGATTCCAAGGTTTAATCTCTTTCTTAAGTGCACAACACATTTATTTATGCTTATTAATAAATGTGTCTGAAGTGTTTCCACGAAACTATTTTAAACTACAACTGCTTTCAAGGGACATGAGGGGAGAGCACACTCTGCCATCCCCTCTGGAAACCTTTGCTGGCTAGTTCAGGCCTGAAAGATGAGAATTTTTTTTTTACTTTGTGAGAGTGAAGAGACATTCTGTTTGTAAAGTCAAGTCTGAAGGCACAAGGCTGCTGTAGAAAGCATTTAAATCAATGATAATCTGTGGATTCTTAGTGGGGCCTGAGACTTGATTTCCAGCGGACTTCAAGGTCAATACTGTGTTACTTGACCTTTTCACTGAGTTGACTATTCATTGTTATGTTTGTAGTATTTGTTGTAAAAGTAATGATGGTTAAGATTGTGGTTGCCTGATCAAGTAGTTATTGTTTTCTTTACTGCCACATATTTCTTGTTTTAAAAAAAAAGCTAATTTCATTTGAGAAAGTCCTTGAAGAAGTAGTAAAAATTGGTAATTTTATTAAATTTTAGCTCTTGAGCATAAACCCTTTGTTTATTTAGTTGTAGTTGGACACAATACCTTTATTTTATTTTTATGTGGTGCTGAGGATCGAACCCAGGGCCTTGCACATACTAGACGATGCTGAGCCACAACCCCAGCCCCTTAAAAACTTTTTGTGTGATGAAGTTGAAATCTACATAAATCACATGGCTGAAGTTGGTGTGCTATCTTATGGGAAGACACTTGGATAATTTTTTGAGCTTCAGGCTGAACTACTGTTTTTTTTCATGAAACAACATTTTTATTTGAAGGAGCAGCTAATAACAACAACAACTATGGTGATTAAGACGAGTGTATTTGATATATTCTCTAAAATAAGGAAACTAGTTGGCAACATTTATTTTCACTGATAGAATTAGAGCAGTCAAAGTAAAATTTAGAAATAGAATTTTAGAAAATTTGTATCTGTCTTATATGTCACTTTGAGTATTACCACTTCCCAAAGTTTAAAGACTGAAGCAAGGGGGATGTAATATGATTTCTTTCTTTCTTTTTTTTTTTTTTAAAGAATAAAATTTAATGAAATGTGAAAGCCTTTGAAAGGTCTGCCTAACTCTGGGAACTGATACTTTCCAGTTGGCAAATGAATGTTAGGAAGCTATACATGGATAAAGGGCCATTCAAAATGCAAGACAGAGGATTGGATTTTAGTGTAACAAAGTATGAAAAGTTCATTGATAGCATTTCAGATTCCATGTTGCAGCTAATTTTTAAAAAATGAAAATTTGTTGAGTTTTGGTGTAGTGTGGGGGGAAATATCCACAGTTTTATGAAAAGACTCAAAGATTCTCCGTTTTTCAGCTTCTAGACTGTTTAAGGATTGATAGGATTTTTAAAAAACATACTTTTACCAAAAAAATACATCACAACAGAGTGAACACAGAAGCAGGTGAGAATGTGTCTTTTATTAAGCTAGCCATTAAAGAGATTTGCTAAAATATAAAATAATACTTCTTAATAACTTTTTTGGAAAATAGTATTGTTCATAAAAACATACTTAACATGTAATGCATTTTATTGTTTTAAAAATTAGTATTAAAATTGTCTTTTTCTAATTATATTTAAATATAAAGATGAATTATACACAGTTCATACATATATCTCAAATAAAAGCTTTCAGGGGTCCTTGTTACTTATTACTAATGGTAAAGAGTAAGACTGATATATTTGCAAATGCTTTAGGCAATATGAGGGTAAATCTGTGTGTGTTATTCACTGTGCAGAAAGCTTTGTGTGTAATATCACGTTTAACCTTAGGGCTTATCACCTTCATTATGAAACTGAAGAAAAGTTTCAGAGAAAGTAACTTGCTTCGGATTACATAGTAAGGAATAGAGTAAGGCTTTTTTAGTTCAGTGTCTGTCTCTTTAAAGCTCTGGTTTTGATATATTGTTGTATAGTATACCAGCATCTAATAGAACTTTTAACATAGATTTGTTACTCAAAGAAAGATAATAAACTATAATTCTTCACTGTTTATCAAAACAGTTATTGGAGGTTTCTTCTTTGCAGCTGAGAATATTCTTATTCTTTATTTAAATGAGAACATTGGTTACACCACCATGTTAATTGGAGGAATGTAAATTGCCTTACATTCTTTGAAGGAAATTTAGCCATGAGTATCAAAAATTCTGAATGTTTGTATATTTTTTGACCTAGCATTTTCACTTTTAGAAATATCTTTACTTGTGAAATAATTGAAGAAGCACACCCTGATATATGTTCTATGATGTACATTGTGGCATGATTTGATAGAGAATTCAGAGACTACTTAAATGTCTAAGCATAGGAGATAGGTTAAATTAATTATGAATAATAGAATTATTTATTATAAATTATAATGATCTACTTAAATCTACTAAGACTGATGGTTTAGATATTATTGATATAAATTGTTCATAGTGCATTGTTTAAATGGCAAAAGTAGTTTACCATACTATGTTAAGATATAGTAAATTGATGTGTTGTAGAAGGAGATTTAAAATTAAAATAACAGTCTCTGAATGGTAAGATTAATGGAGAATTTTTATTTCCTTTTTTTGGCTTTGTTTCCTAATTTTTAACTTTGAAAGGTTTAAAACAAAAACAGAAGGAGCTGTGAGCCACAAACCAAACCAAACAAAAAACCTAGCTTGGCTCATTAATATCCACCCCTACCCCCAACCCCGTAATGTTTAAGGTGCTATCAGTTACCAGTTCTGGCATAACAGGCTAGCATTACAGTTTTTAATATTATTTCTATTGAATTATATTATTCTTAGTGAATTATAACTTGAAATTAATATGTTTGTTGCAGCTTGTATATGAATTTTTCATACGATTTTTGGAAAGCCAAGAATTTCAACCCAGCATTGCCAAAAAATACATAGATCAGAAATTTGTATTACAGGTAAGCAAATTCTTTTAACTGTGTGTATTTGTTATTCAATTGTTAATACTTTGTCTCATTTTTTTTTGGATGTTTGTTAAAAAATAACTCACACTAGCATTATATTACCTCATAAACACACATACACACACATGTACACGTAAATTTCTGTTACTGTCTATTTAAAGTAATAGGCACCTCACTTATTTGTGGTAGAAATAAATTACATTTTAAACAGCCTGAAATGCTGATGCCTGTAGTTTTCTTTTTAAAGTTTAATTATAAAGGAATTTCAAATATATAATCTTGGTGTGTGTGACTCTTAGGTAGCTTTAAAAACTTTGATTTCTGTAAGGATTCTTGAATAATTGTTGCATAGCTCTGTTAAAACTGAGTAGGAAAACTCAGACTGCAGAGCATAAGTAACCTTTAATAAATAATCAAAATGAGAGTTATTGGAGAGTTTTCACTGCCAGGAAATTGCTTAGCTTGACACTTTAAAATTTCCCACCAGGGTTAACTCTAACCTGTCCTTTTGGAAATTCTCAGCGAATGTAGTTTTTCCCTGACTTCTCATTTTTTGTTTTATAATCATAGACTTTATCTTCCTTCTTATCTGGGACATGGAGTATTTTTGTGGCAATGAATTTTTAGAACCTTCTTGCTCCTCTTGTTGATATTCATCAATAGAAATGGACACTGGAAAGAGTAAATATCTCCTAGGGAGCCAATAAACTAACTTCAGATTAAAAACATCAATTTGGCAGAATATATATATATATATATATATATATATATATAAAATTTTTTTTTAAATAATTTTTTAAAAATTTTATATGGTGCTGAGGATTGAACCCAGTGCCTCACGCCCATGAGGCAAGTGCTCTACCACTGAGCTACAATTCCAGCCCAGTTTGGCAGAATATTGATCTCCATTGCCATATGAGGCAAGATAAAGGCTGATACCTCATGATGACTTCATTTCCTTTTCTAATTAAATTAATAAATTTAGAATTAAGGATAGACAGGTGAGCCATAGCTGATATTTTGACTGCTTTTGACACTCAGAACATAGCAGAGTCAGTCATAGGGTTCATTCTAACAGAATGCCAGAGAGCCGAGAGCTACGAAGGCCTCTGTATGCCCTGGGTATGTGGCTCCGTAGAGTTAAATCCTAAGTTCAGATCTTAGCTCAGAACTAAAAAGGAGCTTTGGTGTCTTGCAGGGGAAGAGTGGTCAGGATAACTCATTAGCATCCGTATACTCATTCTAGGAAGATCATTGGACATTTGAGTATTTTGGCACAGCATTAATGAGTCATGGCTCACAACTTAACATGGAAGGCTTTGGATCTGGCCCATTGATTGTCAATATGTGTTCTCTATCATTGATTGCCAGTATGTGACTAAGTGCTTAGTTCTTTCAACCTTTTTTCATTTGTCAGATTTTGAAGTCTATAACATCTGGATGTCCATTTGTCTTCATGTATGACATGTACCTTTGAACACAATGAATGGAACCTGGTCATGCCAGGACAGCTTAGATCTAGGTTTCCCATTCCCTTGTCTGCTTGTCTGGACTCAGTTTCCTCCCTCCCTCCCTTTCTTTCTTTCTTTTTCTTTTTTTAAACCAGGGATTGAACCCAGTGGCACTTAACCACTGAGCCACATCCCCATCCCTTTTAAAAATATTTTATTTAGAGACAGGGCCTTGCTAAATTGCCGAGGCTGGCTTTGAGTTTATGATCCTCCTGCCTTAGCCTCCCGAGCAACTGGGATTACAGGCGTCCATCATGCCTGGCTGACTCAGTTTCTTAAATGGAAAGTCTCATTAGCATTTCTTGCTTTGCATGACTTTGCCAACTTATGTTAAACTTGTGGTCCTAACTGACTTATAATTGACCTTTGCTGTAAAACTATTTTCTTGTTATTCAACTTTTTTTTTTTTTTTAAATCTAAGTATAGGACATGACATATTTCCATGGTATATCATTTCTTTCTAGTCTTTGGAGGTCTTTCTGTATCTTTATTTTGTCATCCACTTTATTTAGTCTTCTTTGTATCTTTACAACATCTTCTTTAAATATGCTAACCATTGGCCTCATCTAAGTCATAGATTAAAATTGTTAAACTACCCAAGGCTTATAGAAGCTTTGGACTTGTCTTTAGAAATGCCCTTACTTTAACATAGATTCACTAATCAGTAATCTTTGAATTCTTAAAGTAGTTAGAAATTTACTTCAGTATGTTATCATCTTTTCTGTGGTACTTAGTTTTGATCATAAGGAGAGCATTTTGTTAGATGCTATGGTAAAAGCCAGGAATTGTTGTTTATAGTGTTCCCCCTCATTTATGACTTTATCATAAAAAGGAATGCCATTCATCTGCTATGATGTGAACTCCCAGAGCTACTGCTATTTGATCATGCACTAAGTACTTGCAAACCATGGAATTGTCTGTCTATCCCAGAGTTTTGCCAGAGAGAAGAAATGAAGTACAAATACCATTTATATACTTTACAGTTTCAGTACCTTCTTCATTTTTTCCAACCTTTGCCTCCTTTATTTTCCTTCCACTTCCTTTCTTTACCCTTTAGTCTGCTGACAACTAATCCTGGAATCCAAACACCTTCTAAAAGTGAAGCCTCAATTCCCTATATGGTTCTGAGCTCCCTTCCTATATGGTTTGGTCCTGACTTGGGTCCTGCTGGGATCTTGGAGCTTGAGAGGTTATTGCTGACATTTCATTCTTTTACCCTCATCTTGCCCACATCCCTTCCTTCCTCTATATTATCTTAATTGCCTGTATATTGGCTACTCCTGCCCACTTCTGCGTTCCCAGTTCAGGTCTCTTTTTATGCCCTCACTTTTTCCTTGCTTGTTTCCATGCCACTTGGTCCTAGTGTGTTTTGTACCTGGTTCACTCCTGACATAGAAACACTCATAGTATTTATTTATTTTATTTTATATTATTTTTTGGGGGTGCAAATCCAGATGACATTTACCTTCTTCTTTTCTTGGGCAGATTTCTTATATTCTGTAGATTCTCAACAATCTCTAAAGGAGTTTTGGTGATTTAAATTTAAAACTTCTTTACTAATATAATATAATCCAGCCATGAGATTTAAACTTATTTTATGTAGCATCTTGATATATTGTTTGTTTTTTTCCTGTCTCTTACCCCACGTGTCATTGAATACAAAAGTTAAAATAAGAATTTAGCTATTTTGTCATGATGTAGTAGAAAATTAGGAAGCTCTGGGTTTGATCTTGAATTCCCTATGTACTATAAGTATACTTTAGGAGGTGAGACTGTGAACTGTGGGGACAGAAGAAACTGCATTTAGGAGCTGGGGATTTGGCTCAGTGGTAGAGTGCTTGCCTAGTATGTGTGAGGCACGGGGTTCAATCCTCAGCCCCACATAAAAATAAATAAAAGTATTATGTCCATATAGAACTAATTTTTTTTTTTTAAAAAAGAGGCTACGTTTAAATCCACCCCCCCCCCTTTTTTAAAAATATCTACTTGCAGCAAGACTTTCAAGTATGTACACTTGATTACCAAACCTGAGTTTCCTCATTTGTGACGTGGGGGTGGCAGGGAAAAAAAAAATATATAGGAGGCACTTCAAAGTTGACAACTATTAAGTCTTCTTAGTTCACTTGGCAGTGTGGCTACAAAAATGGGATCCCTAACTTTAGTCTTAAATAGAGTAAAAATCTTGGGCAGATTGTTGATGACTATTCTTGAGACCAACTGTATCCTTTTATAAAATGGCGGTAAGAGTCACCTCTGTTATAAATCACAAATAAAATAAAATGAGATGACTTGTAAAAATGCTTTTTGGTATCCTGTATGGGCATTATAGTTACTCATTAAATATTAGTTATTTTCATACTTGTCATATTATCTATCCACATTGACAGAATATCTTATTTTTCTTGCCAATATTAATTTAAAAATCTTCACTTTTTGAAACCTTTTTTTCTTTTTTGGTGCCAAGGATTGAACCTGTGTCCTTGTGTATTCTAAGCATGTGCTTCACCACTAAGCTACATCCCCAGCCTTAAAACAAAATTAAGAAATCCATACAAACCTTACACTAAACTTTTGCAAAGCATGCTTGAATAAATGCACAAATGTAACATATTTCTAGATGGGAAAACTTGCCATCATAAAGTTGTCCATATAATCTCCAAGTTAATTATATATTTAGTGCAGTTCTAATTAAAATTCCAGTAGCTTTTTTATTTGAAATTTTTAGAGTTCATGAAATAAATTTTTGAGAAAGATGACTGATGGTAGGATACTTTACCTATTAGACAATAAAATAATTCATTTCTCAGCACTACAAAAAATAAATAAAACATACTATGAAGTCACTTAATTAAAGCTGTGGTTTTTGAACAGAAAAATGGAGCATAATAGAAGCTTGGGTGGAAGAAGACTCTTTTGAGTATGCTCTAAAACCCATAAGAAGATGTACTAATAAATAATAGATGTTATATAGGCAGCAAATTGCTATAAGTTCTGAAGAGGAAACCTGGTAGTATTCTGTCAAAATTAAATTTTGACCCAGCAAGTCCCTGAGAAGTATTCAGTTGTGTGTACAAAAATAAACATAAATATACTGAATGTATTGTTTTTAATAATTATTATAAAATTGGAAACAATAATTCCTCAGCAGGAGTTAATTGAAAAAACTGGACATTCACACAGTGAAATATTCATCAATAAAAAGAATGTGATAGAGTTACACAGGCTTGTTTTTTCTTTTTAATATTTTATTTTTTTTAGTTACACATGACAGTAACATGCACTTATATACTTTGACATATCATACATGGATGGGATATAATTTCTCATTTTTCTGAGTATACATATTGTAGAATCATATTGGTCATACAGTCATATATATATATATATATATATATATATATATATGTATATATATATATGGTAATAATGTCTGTTTCATTCTACTATGTTTCTTATCCCCACATCCTCTCCTTCCACTTCTCT